ACTAGCTACCATTTTTGAGCTCTTGGTCCTAGCACTGTGCTAAGTGCTTGTTACACGTTATAAATCAAAATCCTATCAGATAGGTATTAGCATTATCCATACTTGATAGAGGTAAAAACTGAGGCTTGTAAACAGGAAAGTGACACTCTGAAGAAGAGGAAACTGTCTAAAGGTGCACAGTGACAGGGCAGGTGGGACCCGGATACACTGACTCGTCAGTGCGTACCCCTAACCGGGACCCCACACTGCTTGCTGCAAAATTAATCCCAGTCGAGCCAGCAGCAGAAATATAATTGTTTTTTAAGGATTACCTTGCCCTAGCCAGTATGGCTCAGTTAGTTGGAGTGTCATCCCTACCAAAAGGTTGCCAGTTCGATTCCCAGTCAGGGCACATGCCTGGGTTTCAGGTTCGATCCCCAGTTGGGGCACATTCCTATGTGAGGCAACCAATCGATGTTCCTCTTCCACGTCAATGTTTCTTTCTCTCTCCCTTTTCCTCTCTCTAAATAACCAATAAACCATATCTTCCAGTTAGGATTTTTAAAAAATTACCTTTAATATCTCGTCCAATAACACAGATTTAATCTCTAAATCCTCAAAGTTGCAAATATATCCAGAAGTCTGAATGGGTTCCTTTAAAGACAAAAACAAATGTTATACTTAATTATATAAAATTTTCCTTCTTCAACATAAAGCAGAGGAATGAATAGCAGAGTGAGTTAACCACACGGGGACCACGGCCAGCCAGGTCCTCGTGAATGAGAACAGTACAGCATGGTTTATGAAGAAACCCAGTCAGTGGTAAGGTTATAAAAATTCATCTAGCTGTAAATCTCATAGGAATCTAAGTGCTAGCCAAGCCAGACAGCAAGCTCAAATTTAAAAAGAAGAAGGCTGCTCTGTTAAAACTACTTAAGAAACACTTTCCACAGGCACCGACTTCTCAGAGGACGTAGAGAACATGTAAAGGATGAGTACTGTTCCCCCGTAAGACCAAGTATTTTAAAACTCCACGGAAATGTTTCTGTTTACTTTCAGAAATCCATGCAGACAACACCAATAAACCTCTGGCAGAAACAAAGGAGAAATACCCAGGTCTTGATATTTGTGCCGTTACGATTTAGGTACCGTTAATGCTCATTTCTTGTCTTTACCTCTGGATCCAAGTTTCTGAAAACATACATTCTTGTTTTCTCCATCATTGCAAACAAATCAGGATTATCTCTGGCCCACTTCATATCCCAGACATCTTTCCGCTCCAATTTCAGCAGCTCGCCAATGACTTGCTGCCCCGTGCTGTCCGTTACCCGCGCATCCAAGTCAAAGAAGGTTAGGACTCCTGAGTTGTCTATGATGGCAAGACGGCTGCAAATAATGAACCCGGAGAAGGGGAAATGGTAAGTTACAAACAGCGATCATGAATATAAGTATGACTCAGCAATCCAAGTAGAAATGGCTTTAGATAAAAAAAAACTGACTTCAAACCAGTTTTACAAATTTGATAGAAGACATGGACGACTCTCCACTTTGCTTCCTTGTGAGGAAAGAGATCCAAGGAGATTAAAGCAACTGGCATATAAATAACTTAAACATTGCACTAGCATTTCTATATTTTGCCCGATTAGAGAAAGACATCTAAACCAAATACAGTACCAAAAATATAAATATTTAAATACTAATTCAGTATAGTCAAACCACACTGAACTATAAGGCAAGTTTAAACACACACACATCTTTGCATTTATTACATCAATCTAGCAATCCACACTGATAACATCTAAGTCACACATCTGCCTGAAGGGGGCCTTCAGACTTACCTAGAGTTGCAGTTCAGCGATAACTGGTTGGCTCGACAATTAAGGGAATATTTTTGAATCAAACCAACATTAGGAAGACTGTATCTCTGAATGGCGCCAGATTCACGACCCTATGGAAATTACTTTTGATTATTAAGCAAATTTCCACAATATTTTAAAGACCAACATTAAATTACAACTACAGGTCTCTCTAAATGTTCATAATTTGTTTCAAAATCAAAGTGATGGTATCATAGCAAATCCCCTTGTGATAGTGAATCATGTTTCTGAGTACATATTTCTCTCCTATGTTAATCAAAACCTTTTAAAAGTGGCAGAAGGTGATCCAATTGTTTTCATGTAGCATTCGAAAAAGAAGTCAAAAATCTAGTTCTTCAATAATATACGCATTCTTACATCACAAGGAAGAAATACCCAGCGTTATTTATAGTTGTCTAGGGTAATATTCAGGATACATTAAAGGCTAAAATATAAAGCATTTACTGCATTAAATTTCATATATAAGATCACTGTATGAAACAGTTGCTACTGAGAGTCTATCTGATATATGTTAGGAAGATTATCAGAAAGCAATGATGCAATCAGTATTAAATTTGCTTAAAAATGGAATAGAATATAAGTTCCTATGCAACTCTGTGCAGGCCTTAAGGAGCAAACCACCGTTTTCAAACCCTCTGTGCCCCAAGCCAAGCCCAGGGAATGGGGTATAGTGGAGGCTCCTGGCAGCCAGTCCTCCCCTCGTCCCTTCCCCTGCCACAGAGCAGCGCTGCTTTTGCAAACTGACTCTCAAGAGGGGCCAGTCAGAAAGGCTGGGGAGTGCCAGGGGTGGGGATGGGGAGGATATTTTCTAATGTATAAAAGAGACATGAGGGTGTTAAAATATTTAATATATCGACAAAACAAGATTTTGTTTTTGAAAAAGGTGGTCTTGTGGCTTAAAACGTTTGAAAAAGTAAAAGTACTAAAAACTGTTTACATTGCAACAGTGGAAAGAGGTGTTCAATGCAGAGGACATCTTCTGCATCGAAACTTTCGGCTGATATTAAAACTATTTCAATGCGTTTCTTATAGGTAGGTTCTCATTTGGGAGCTAGGTCAATTTCTGTTATTGTTCTGAGTTGCAAGTTACTATTTTCTGCAAATGTCAGAAACACACACACGTATTTTCTTAAAAGCCACCCTGCCATATAGCAAAAGAGAAAACAAGAGATTCCACAGACCTAAGACAAACTGCTGAAAACATACACCAAGTTCATTTGGTGAGGAAAAATGAATACCATGTTCTTAACATTGTTTTCCCCCTTAAATTAGTTAACTAATGGCTAAAGCACATAACTAGAGCTGGAAACAGACACCATGAAGGCCTGGTTTACATAATTCAAATTCAGTGACTCTACCAGCATTACTATGTCAAAGTCAACATTTATCTCTAAAATTAATATTTTCAAATGTCAGAACTCAAGAAAAGACACTATACACTGATGTTATTTGAAAAATTCAGCAAAAATTTGCCATGCACATCTTTATTTTAATGGCTAGCAAACACATTACCTCTTCACCCTAAATCTTACAAAGATAGCTGAGCCAAAACACTTTCTCCAACGTGAACTAGCAGGCGACATAGAGGAGGAAACCTCTAAACCTACGACCACCACCCAACCCTCCCCACTTCGGCTAACCCTTTAGAGGGCTCATTCAACCCAGTGCCAAACTCTCCCCACTGACCCTCATTCTATTGCTATTATAAACAGCTTTTTGCAAAAGATGAACCATTTGTGAGGCAATCTTTAAGACTTTCTTATTTCTTATGTTTGATTCAATTAAACATAAAGTGCCCATAAGATGATATTCAAACCCAAAACATGTTGCTTTGCTCTATTTTTACAATTTAAACAACTATTATTCAAAAATTTTTTTCACAACTTACCACAATCAATGTCTTATCAGATGCAGTTAAGGCACAAATTGGATCCCTTGTGCCCTAAAATAAATCAATTTGTTATTCTTTAACAAATATTTATTGGATGACAAATCGGTATATGGTAGTATTCAGTTCAACAATACATTTATTAACTTAACAAACTTTTACTAACCTACTATGCGCCAGACACTAAACTAAGCACTAGAGATACTCGGATGAAATCTTTACCCTCAGGGATTAGTCAAAAGTCTACTGGGGCCCGGGCTGGTGTGGCTCAGTGATTGAGCGTCAACTAGTTCGCAGGCTCGATCCCCAGGAGGGGGCGTGCAGGAGGCAGCCAATCCATGACTCTCTCTCATCATTGATGTTTCTATCTCTCTCTCTCCCTCTCCCTTCTTCTCTGAAATCAATAAAAATATATTTTAAAAAAAGAAGTTCACACAGTAGTTATGAGATCACAGAGGAAGGAGCATCTTATACCAAAATGGGCATGGAGGCAAAAACCTGAGCTTAGTCATAAGAGATGAACATATGATAGAAGGACCACCTTGCCAAAATGAGGGAGGGAGATGGCCTGGCACTGTCACAACCTGGATGGTACTCAAGAGGTTACGCTTAGCGAAAGGAAGCCCATCTCTAAAGGTTGCATGCTACACGATTCCATTCATAAGACATTCTAAGGATGTCAAAACTCTAGAGATGGAAACAAATTAGTGGTTGCCAGGGAACAGGGATGGTGTAGAGAGGAGGTGTGAAAATGAAGAAGTAGCTAGCACAAGGCACACATACAAACAATAAGGAATCAGATCATAGTAATATTACCAGTGTCAATTTCCTAACTTCTATATTATAATATATTTATATAAAATGTCCCATTTGAAGGAAGCTTGGTAAGTAAGTTCTATGTGCTATTTTTGCAACTTTCTGTGAGCCTACAATTATTTTAAAATAAAATGTTTTTAAAAATCAAAAGAAGAAAAAGTAGCAGATCTAGAGAAAGGTTTTCAGAATAGAAAAATGTTTAAAGAATTACTAGGATAATATGCTATCACTGGAAACAAATTCTTTTACTGGTCTCAAAACAAAATTACAGTATCTCCAAATCTACATGTTTGATGGCAGCAATAAAATCACCTACTTGAATGGCTTTATTATAATCAAGCACTCCATCCACTGATCCAGAAGGACTATCATCAATATGATAGATTCTGGGGGGGAAAAATCAGAATTTCAAAGACAGTATAAAGGTTATACTATTTCATAATCTCTAGAATAGTTAAAGGATTGGATGACACCAATGAATATTGTTATTTAACATAAATGCCATTGTTTTAAAGAATTCTTGATAATGCTTAATCTTATAAAGGTAAAAATTATCTACCTACCAGGTGAGAGACAGAAACCACCTGACCAGTGCACCCAACCTAAGACCTCGCCCATGTCTGTGTCTAAGGACCTGCCTCTTCTGTGGTGAGGAGCACTAGAATCACCCCTCCTGTCCCAGAAGGACCTGCACCACTAACACACAGGCCTTAGCGGACTCACCATGTTTCAGCAGAGCATCGTAGCTCTAATTAGTGAGAGCAGATGGGTGAGAATAGCCATTTCCTTATTAAAACATAGATTTCCAGTCTTCATCTCTAAGGGCTTTCTTTTATTATACCACTCTTACCTCCCTTTTATTTTGATAAATTTAAACAGGTACATTTGAAAGCTATTCAGATTAACTGGAAAATATTATTTCTGTTCATCAAAACAATTTACAGTTCTCAGGCATGACAATTTCTAACTAGCTCTGTGATTTAAATGTGATCTAGTTGAGGACAGCATTTGGCCCCCCAGCATATGTTGTCAGTTCGGCTCAAAGAAACATTAAAAAATATAAAAAAATAAAAATAAAAATAAATATTATAAATATGATATGGTTGAGCTTCTAAAAAATATGCAACAAAAGACATACCTTTCTCTCCCTTCTTTCCGAGACCGTGTCATCTGATTGATTTCCAACGCTGTGAGCTTCTTTGACACACGGTATTGCCAGATATAAAATGCTTCTTTTGAAGCTGCTATCACATGTGTTTTGGTCATTGCAACAAATAGTGGAACTATTAAAAAACATTAGGACAATTAGGTTACAGTCACACAGAACCTCAGAATGTGCTGCAAAGGACCTCAGCGATCCCCAAGTTCAACCGCTCCTTTTACAGACAACATACCCCACACAGTCTGGGAAATCAGATGAGAGTCAAAAGCTTGTAAAACCATACAAAAAATGTTAATTCAAAATAGGTCAAAGAGCTAACCGTAGGACTCTTAGAAAAAAATGTAGGAGTAAATCTTTATGACTTTGGATTAGGCAATGGTTTCTTAAATATGACACCAAAAAAGCACAAGCAACAAAAGCCAAAGTAGGTAAACTGGACTTCACCAAAATTAAAAAGATGTGTGCTGCAAAGGACAGCATCCACAAACTGAAAAGACAGCCCACAAAACGTAAAATATATTTACAAATCAAATACATGATAAGGAATTATATCTAGAAAATGTAAAGAACTCTCATACTTCAGAGACAAATAGCCCAACTGAAAAATGGGCAAAGGAACTGAACAGAAACTCTCCAATGAAGATACACAAATGACCACTAAGCAAATGAAAAGATGCTCAACAGCACTAGCCGTCAGGCAAATGCCACAAGGTACCACTTCACAGCCACCGCACGTGCTAGAATCAATAGTCACACAAGACCTGAGTATAGACAAGGATGTGGAGAAATGGTTGGACTGTCCAGTGGTGCACACCCTAGCAGCTCCTCAAAATGTTAAACACAGAATAACCTCATGCCCCAGCAATTTCACTCTTGGGTATACCCGAGAGAAATGAAAACATATGTCCACACAAAAAGTCATACACAAATGTTCGTAACAGCGTTATTCATCATAGCCAAAAAGTAACAACAGCCCACATGTCCATTAACTAATGAATGAAAAATACAATCCCAGTCCTTCCTCCCTTCCCCCCTACCATTACTGCTCAGTGTAGGCATTTACTACACCTTCTCTCTGATCTCGTATGTCTTATATTTCCTCATTAGCTTAGAAACGAAAACCTGGCCAGAGTGGCTCAGTTGGTTGAGTGTCATCCTGTGTACCGAAGGGTTGCCAGTTCGATTCCCAGTCAGGGCACATACCTGAGCTGCAGGTTTGATCCCCAGTTGGGAAGCTAACAAAAGGCAAACGTTCGATGTTTTTCTCTCCCATCAATGTTTCCCTCTCTCTCCCTTTCTCTCTCATATCCTCAGGTGAGGATTTAAAAAAGAAAGAAAATTCCCCAAAGTTCCTTCCTAATTTAGGAATATATTCTCCTAAACGTGTAACTTTTTTTATGTTCTGCTTCTTAGAGAAGCTCCTACTGTGTACCCTTTAATGAAACAGATAGTCTCATCAAATCCATCCTACAGATAAAGAAATGTAGAATTAAAGAAGTAAAATACTTGTCCAAGGTCACAAACAAAATAAACAACATAAAATTAAACATAAATTCACACAAAATATATAAAAACAAAAAAAGTCCTTCATAAAAGATCATTTTAGTACCTAATTTCCAAAGTAATGATTTAAATGGTACAAAAATTAGTCTTTTACTCATAATTATTATGAAAAGTCACCATTGATATGGCTAGAATAAACAAATGGTGTTAACTGCAGCTGCCACTTATGGCATTCAGGCCACAGGCCAAATAAAAGACATTAAGGCAGTAAAAGATTTAGAAACTGAAGAAACTAGACTCATGGTATAATGTTAAATAGATTAACAACTTGGGAATTCAAATTCAAGAATTTTTATATGCTAAATAACTAAGCATAGCGAAACATTTTTTTTTTTTTAAATTTCCTTGCCCTAACCCGTTTGGTTTAGTGGATAGAGCGTCGGCCTGCGGACTAAAGGGTCCCAGGTTCGATTCCGGTCAAGGGCATGTACCTTGGTTGCGGGTACATCCCCAGTAGGAGGTGTGCAAGAGGCAGCTGATCAATGTTTCTCTCTCATTGATGTTTCTAACTCTCTATTCCTCTCCTTTCCTCTCTGTAAAAAAAAAAAAATCAATAAAATATATATTTTTAATTTTTTCCTTATACTTTTCTAAGATTTTTCTATTAAAATGTGTACAATTTCCAAACCCTAGAGGGAGACAGAAGCCTTCCAAATGGGGAACAACTGGTTCGAAGGCAGTCGTGGCAAAGCTGGTGGGAGCTGAATGCAATGACTCAGCAAGCCAGGCTGCTCCACTCAGCTTTCGCTAACCCTGTCATCACTAAATCGTTAGACCTTTGCAAATTCTTAGTAGATTCTCTCACGGAGACTAATGCTGTAATTATTGTCACATTACAGCCCTTAATGTCATACAACGTTCTACAAACTACAACTGCTTTCCAATAAAACATCACTTTTTATAAGCATATTAAAGCATTTTTCTAAACATGTTTACCTACAATTATAAAATACTAGAGGCCTGATGCACGAAATTCATGCAAGAGTAGGCCTTCCTTCCCCTGGCTGCTGGCACTGGCTTCCCTCTGGCACCCGGGACCTGGGCTTCCCTCGCAGCCCCAGCTTTGTCCAGAGGTCATCTGAAGGACATCCGGTCTAATTAGCATATTATGCTTTTATTATTATAGATACTCATGTCCCTTTATTTCAATTCATCCTAAGTAATCACAAGAGTTTATCATTAGCCTGATTAATTCAAAATTAAAATGTTATACTTTACAATGAAAGTCAGACTTCTTGGATTCAAATTAAAAGCATTTTAACTCTATGGCCTTAGATACAGTACTTATTCTCTCTGAACTGTAAATTAAAGGTAATCATACCAACCTTTAGAGCGGCTTTAAAGATTTAAAAAAACAATAAATATAAAGCATAGTATGATGCCTGGCATAGAATAAATGCTTAATAACAATTTTAAAAGTCTGTATTTATTGAATTTTTCAAAATTATGCTAGGCATATAATTTATTAATTATAATTATATAGTTATAATTATATATTATAATATAACATAATTATATTCATATAAAATTAAAATATGACATCTATTTACTCACAACCACCCTCTCAGGTAGATAGTATTATTATTCCCACTTAGCAGATGAAGACACTTAAGGAGAAAATGGTTAAATAACTGGCTGAAGTTGCACAGCTAGAAAGCGGTAGAAGCCGGGATACAAACCCAGTTAATCTGACTCCGAATCTATGCTCTTAACCACTAGGGCACACTGCCTTTCCTTAAGGGTCAGCGTTAGGTGTGGTTGCCATTTTTGTTTTCCTGGTATTACCCACATAGGTTTTTCTAATAAAGCCATATTCAGATCCACTGGTCAATACAAAAAAACAAATACAAATATATCTAAAACATACTAGTAGGTTCTTTTGAATCAATATGGCCGTAATTTCAGCAAATTCACATGGGTAGCTAACCCTAAATTTGCTAGATCTCTATTAAAAGATCCACCCCTCCAGGCAGATTAGTACTTAGTTTCCTAGACCTAAGCCTCTAGGACACGGTCAGAAGAACAAATTTCAGCAGGTAGGGCAGTTAAGAAGAAAACAGACCAGGAGAAAAGCACTCCATGTCCTTCTCAGCTATTCAACATCTGGAAAGAGAAACTCAAAGTGTCTACAAAGATTATTGGAAAAACAGTTTAAGAAAGTAATATTCGCATGCGGAGGACTGAAATAAATGTCTGCATCTGTAATGTTCCCCCAATTTCCTTCTTACTCATTGCTCAGCCCTTTAAAGAGCTGGTAAACTGAGGCTGCATTGAAATGTTTTCATTATAAACGACCCCTCTCTGACCACGCAGAAGGCTCAGTGCTTGTGCTGCGGTTCGTCCTTAGAAAGCTCATACTTGCTCCCGCCACAGTGGCTGCAGCACAGGCCCCGGACATTTTTCAGGCACTTTGCATGCCTTCATTCCCCTGCAAATGCTGTCTTCTCTCCTTAAACGTCACCTGAAGAAGTGCCCTTCAAAACTCAGCTTAACTGAAACCTTCTCAGTTGATAAGATGCCCCTGATGTCCTCATGCACTGATAACTTACCCACACCTAGCCCAACACCTAGCAGGAGAGTGATGGCCATTGTTCAATGGATTAACTATATTTTAATTCTTTATTTAGACAGCCTACAGGAAATGCCACAATTAAGTTCTTAGCCCTCCCTGTACCAAGTATAGTACATGAAACAATATCTACTCATTGATGGTTTACTAAGTAAGTGGACTGTATTTTAAATATTTTCATATGTTCAGTAAACATTTGTTATGGGGCAAGTACAGTCTTAGGTAGTGGGGATATAGGAATTAATAGATGTAGATCTTAAGAAGCTCAAAATCTTGTGGGGGAAGATAGAGAAGAAAGTCAACAATGAGTGCAGAGTAAGTACTTGGAATAGAAGCACACCAAAGATATTTCTAAGGGATCGAAGGAAGAACACCAAAAAAAGGGGTACCTACCTCCTACAGGTACAATACAACAGAGTCCTACAAACTAAAGTTCTTTTTAAAAGTTCCCATAGAAATTGACAGGAGGAAGAATAAGCGACAAAACAAAAATTACTCTTTCTAGAACAACATCTGTTACATACTTTATTTTGCTTTAGCCTCCAGTCCTCATAAAAATTTGACACAGAAACTTAAAAAAGGAATTTTACAGTATAAAAAAAAATTGTTGAGTCTTGGCTGAGTTTACTTTGGCAGTAAACCAATGAAAGAACTGTTTGTTAAAACTTGAACCACAGAGACTGCAAAAAAAAAGTTTCTAGACTCAAACTTACAAATAATCATGCCTTAAGCATTTGCCATTTGATGAAGGTGAAGAATTTACATCTGGCTTTATTAAAAAATAGAATATGTACAATCAAAATTGCTTTGAAGCTTATCCTATCATCATTATGATTCTATGTTAAAATCTGATATTAAAAGAAAAAGAAAAAAAAGCATATAATCTGAAGGTTGACGGAATTCACCCCTTAGACTTTTGTATCTAATAAATGAAGATATTCATGTGACATGTCTGTAATAACTTTAAGCTAAGCCTTTTAACAAGGAACACTAATACACACACACACACACACACACACACACATTGGGTATACCAACAAAATGTATACGCACACTTTGAATAATTACAAAGGCAGTGCTTATTAAAATACATTTCATTTTCAAAATTGAGCTGTTAAGTGTGTATACATTTGGGGGGGCACCCTGTACATATACATATAAATATGCCCATGTAGCAATGAATTTAGGGCATGAAATTGAGCAGTTTAAAATATAAAAGTGAGTTACCAAGTCCCTAAATATAAAGTATAAAATCTCTGAGGCCAGTAGTTGTTTCCCACATTTGCTTGTATTACCCAAAGCGCTCGGCACAATAAAATACTTAGAAGGCAAACACTAACATTTGATTGTTAAGTCCAAATGTGAAATCTGTAGGGGGAAAAAAGAAATGTCTAGTTCTCAGATTCAGAACATGTGGGTTTTCAGCTTCTGAAATCTAATCATTCTTCTAATACCATATCCAATAAACTACCATACGCTTTCAAAGAAAACCATTACTTCTGGGGGTTATAGTGAAACAGTAGAAAAATATTTGGTAATGGTTTTTAACAAAAAACTTAGAATAAGTCTTGTAATTTTTTAATGGTTACCTTCATAGCATTTGGATACAGGGAAGGGTATATCTAAAGTAACAAATATCTGAAAACAAAAACTCAGGCATTTTTAAAGTTGTCCCTATTAACAGACATATTTCATTGGAAAATTCTGGAAAAGGCAAACGCACTTTTACAAGCAGCTAAGTGTTTTTAATAGAAGAGAGGCATTTACAGGCAGTTTATTAATATTAAAAGTGGTTTAAGGTTAAGGGCAAAATTCTTTCTATAATCCTGTTTGTTGCATTCTAATCATTACGTGGCATATCAGTCCCTATACAATTATAATTCCCATTTAAAGCAAATGATGACAGCATAGCAGTTGTGAGATTATTATGGCATTTAGATGAAGTAACCTTAGAACTGATTGTATTTCCCAGGATAACTTCTGGGTAATTCAGTGAGATGGAGCATCATTAACAATTGTTCCATGATTACAGGCATAAACTGGGCCTGGCAAACCAGGAAGTACGCTCCTTGTTTTAGAGAATACCATTCTAATTTAATAATACCACTGTTTAGTTTTTAATTAGCTTTACAAATAAACCTTGATTAAAGAAGTAATAAATATTAACATTTCCTTACCAATATCAATGTATTTGGGATCCAAGGGTGTACCAATAGAATTACAAAGAACTAGCACAAACTGTGAAAAATAAGACAAAAGGTATCAGAACTCCTGCTTAAGGATAATAAAGGAAATAATGCTTAACATAGCATAACTCTTTTTCGAGTATCACTAACTGAGAGATAATGGATAAAATTGTTAAGTCAAAGAACAGCAGAGAAATATAATCTACAGCATTAAAGATAAAGAAATACTAACTAAATCTAAACCAAAGCTGATTTCTCAATATTGGAACTCTGTGGTTTTTAAGAGGCTACTTAAGAAACACAAATACACTGGCTACTTTCATTATTTATTCTTGTAAAATTCCTGATCAGCTATAACATCAATATTCATTTTTTTCCTATGATCAGCTTTAAGAGCTAATTTAACTTGTTACCGTTGCACCAAATGTTTCCATCTCGCACTCCTCCTTTGAAGCAATATATAAATGATGGAGAAATTCAGAAAAATTCAGTGAATTTAGAAAAAACATAATCCAACCTAGTGAAAATGACTCAAAATGCCCATTAGTTAACACATATTCAAATAATTATTAATAATTCATATTAAGAAAATAATCAAGCATAACTCACACTTTACATCATATTATTTTTATATTTTCGGTATTAAGAATATTATTTTCTGTAGATGTTCTCTTGATTAAGATAATGATTTCAAATTAACCAATATTCTATGTACTATTACATATAGACTTTATCTTTCTTTTTCCAGCATCTCAAGTAAAATTTGTTTAATTTCATAAATATAATCTAAAGACAAAAGGTATACTAGCATAATTTACTCTTCCACTAGTTAAGCTTACTTACTGCCACAAAATACCACAAATAACTTGTATTTTTTAATTTTCTTATCATTTACATGCTCAGACTCAATTCCATGAGACTTCTTACTAAAAATACACGTCTCCCCCAACTTCCCATTTCTTACTCCCTAATCATTTTCATCTTTTAACTCATCCTTTTGATATTTACCTCCACAGACCTAAGGGACACGTTTATAGCGGTGCTTCTTGTTTTGTCCTGCTTTGTTTCAGCTGGGACTCCCACTGTGAGTGCGTTCAGAGGTCTTTTCTCCGGGCTCTTCCGGCCTCCTACCTAGACGCTGTGTGTTTAGCTACCAGTGTTCTGGGAACCAAGTGGGGAAAGACGACCGGGGAACAGAGCAGTAAACTTTGTATTTCATTGCCTTGCTTTCAGCAGATCCCCTCCCCTGGCCTTCCTTGGTGCCCTTCCTGCACAGACTCTTGCTATCCTCTCTGGAGAGGAACCTCGGGCCCTCGGTGAGGAAGGGCTGCCCATGAGCTCAGCAGGGGAAAGGAGTCTGCTCCTTTATATGCCTTTGTTTTGTTAGTTTTCTCCTTCCTGCATAACTGCTGCTTCCAAACTGCTGTTCTGTTTCTTTCTCTGACCAGGTACATCAAGAGCTGTGTCTCTTCGGGGCTCTGGGAGGTAAAGCGGCTCTTGCTTTCTCCTCTGATGAGTTCGGCGGGAGCGCCCTCAGTTCTGCTCAGGCGATTGCCACCAACCCACCTCCGCTCTAACCTCCACGACTAGGTTGTTGTTTCCTCTCCCTTTCTGGTCCCCGTGGCTTTATGGCTTCTTTAAGAATACCCTGTTTTAGTGAGTTTCAGGGGGAAATGTGCCTGTTCAAATGGGCACTTTACACCAAAAACTTCATACTTTTTAATGGGATAAAATAATAACACAGCCAAAGACAACGGTAATCCTTTTTTGAAAAACTGACATGCTTCTGTAAATATTTAAGTTGTTAGCATACTTTTTAAAAGGGCATTAATTATATTACTTATTTTGTGCTACCAAACTGATTTTTAAAGCAATAAAACGCTGAGAAAAAGTATATTTCTCAACATCACAGCTATCCAAAGTGTTATATGGTCATTGTTATATAGCTTCTTGAGCATTTATACTAGACATCTGCCTATTCATTTTTGCTTATGGGATTTTTAACTTGGAAGAGGATTGATGTCTTTTAAATACATTTCAGAGACAAAAAGCTTCAGTACTGAACTGATCAATATAAAATGTCAGTGTATTAATTGATTGAATAGGGTCGTATAATTTTCCAACAGAAGTCTAGCCAGACATGACCAAGAGAACCAATACTTTGCTGGACCTGCCAGTGTAGAGGCCATACTTGCAAGTAGATAACTATAGCCTAATTCTGCCAAGTGGTTGACCCATCTAAGTTTTTAATATCGAGTAACACCTACCTGAGGAAGATTTTCATCAGCTTTCGTAGCCAAAATGCAGAAATCTCCACAGGTAGTAATAGAAATGAGACTCTTCACATATTTAACGTATTTCTCATTGTTTTTCGTATCCCAAAATATAACACAGTACTCTGGGCGATCAGGTCTGGTATAAGCATAAACTATAGTATTTAAGCAATATCCCCACTAGGAAAAAAGGAAGGAAGAAAGGGAGGGAAAAGGAGGACGGAAGAAGGGAAGAGGAAAAAGGAGAAAAAAACATTTAATCCTGGGAAAGAAAAACCATGTTATTACATTTTTACTATAGAAATATTGCAGACATGTGGTTTATCAATTCTGACAAAATATATTCTTCAGAAATGGATGACAGGACTGAACATTCAGCTTAATACCTTTTCTCATTAAAATAACAAAAAATCTAAGAGCAATACAGATAGTTGTAAAAGAAATAAAAAACTGCAAAAATAAATTAGTTGTTTAACTGTCCTCGTTTTAGTATGTAAGGTTTAAGCCTTGGTGACAATTTCAGCTTTTTCAATCATCAACAACAGCTATATAGGGGCCAACAGGAAGTGATCCCTGTCAAAAGTTTAAATTCTGAGCCCCAAGCCAAATTCAGATTCAGGTGCTTTGCCTTTTGTCCACCCACCCACATTTTTTATATTTGTTTTTATCAGAGTAACATATGCACGGAGTTTATAGTCAAACTAAAGGCCCAGTGCACAAATTCGTGCACCAATGGGGTCCCTTGGCCTGGCCTGCAGGATCGGGCCAAAACTGGCTCTCCAACATCCCTCGAGGGGTCCCGGATTGCAAGAAGGCACAGGCCAGCCCGAGGGACCCCACTAGTGCATGATCAGAGCCGGGGAGAGATGGGGGAGGTTGGCCAGCCAGGAAGGGACTGTGGGAGGGCTCAGCCCCAATGGGCTGGACCCCAGTAGCAAGGAGGCCTAGCAGTCAGAGCGTCTGCCCCCTGGTGGTCAGTGCACATCATAGTGAGTGGTCAACCAGTCAACTGTCTACCTCCTGGTGGTCAGTGCACATCATAGAGAGTGGTTGAGCGGCCTTAGCATATCATTAGCATATTACGCTTTGACTGGTTAAACGGCCAACCAGGTATTTAGCATATTAGGCTTTTATTATTTAGGATTAGTCTACACAGCTTATTGAAAACAAAAGCAAAATGCAGACACCCCACTCCCATAATTTCCTCCCAGGACAGCTCTTTACAACTCTTTCAGTTGTTAATGGCTTAAGTATTTATTTCCATGTCACATGTGAATTAATTACTCACACACTTAGTGCTTTCCCTTTTGGCTAACTCTCCCAATATACTTACATGTAATTTTGAACAAATCAATATTGAGAGACAACAATATTATGACTGTTTACTATTCAAAGCTAAGCCATATTTACTTTTTGTACCATGATAACTGTTTTTAATTTTACTTTAAAATAATTTTAGATTTATACAAAAGTTGCAAAGATAGTACATAGTTCCCCATACTCCTCTCCCATGCCCCCTATTAACATCTTACATCACCATGGAACATTTGTGACAACTAAGAAAGCAACACTAATGAAGTGCTAGTCACTAAACCCATACTTATTTGGATTTCATCCGTTTTTCCCTGCGGTCCTTCTTCTCCTCAGAGTCCTATTGAGGACGTCCTATATGTAGTCATCATGTCTCCTAGGCTTCCCAGGGCCATGATGGCTTCTCAATCTTTCCTTGTTTTGATGACCGTGACAGTTTTGAGGAGTCCTGGACAGGTGTTTTATAGAATGTCCTTCCGTGAGGTTTGGTCTGATGTTTTTCCCATGCTCGGATCAGGATAGTCCGTTTTTAGGAAACCACCACGGCGGGGAGCAGCTCTTCTGTCGGGTCACATCCCCGAGGATGCTGACCCTGATCACCTGCACAAGGTGGTGTCTGCCAGGTTTCTCCACTGCAAAGTTACTTTCCTTTTCCCCTCCCCATTCTGTATGCTTTGGAAGTGAGTCATAAGTGCAACCCACACCCAAACTGGGGAAGGGGGCTACACTGCACTTCTGAACAGGGTGGTGCCTAGTACTGCTTTAAGGAAGATTTGTTCGGTCTCCCCCATTTATTTATGTAAGTTATTTATATCAGTTTCTATTCCTGGACATTTCTTATAATTTGGGTTACCATCCAATGTTACATCACTTGTTTTGTTGCTCAAATCGCTCCACCTGTGGCCATTGGGAGCTCTTTCCGATTGGCTCCTTCGTCTCTTTGGCCCACGCCCATGCTCTTGTTTTTGGAGCACTTCCTGACTTCCTGGCACTATAAGATGCTCCAGCTATCTCGTACTTTCCCCACTCTAGTCCTAGAATCAGCCATTTCTCCACAGTTCTTTGCCCTTTAAAAATTAGATAGATAAGTCTTTTTAATAACAAATACTTGCAATAGTTTACCAGCTCAGTCTCATACTTCAGAACTTGTTTTGGATCAGATGTTAAATTTAAGATAAAATAAAATAATCTTATGCTGCTTATGCTCATTTCTCCTCTGATCCTTTCTCTGCCCTTCTCTACCCTGCTCTGTGCCCTGGAGGCCGACTTCTATGAACTCCATTTCCTGGGCTACCTTGCCTTCTGGTGTGGCCAAGAGAAGACCCTAGCGGTGGAAAGAGGGTGGAAGTATTTCCTCCCTCCCACCCCCGTGCTGCCTCTGCCCTGCCAGCTGGCAGTGGCTCTGCTCCCGTAGAGGGTCCCCTGGCACAACCACAGTGCTAGTGGGTTCCTGAACACTTCCTCACCTTGCCCACTGTTGCTAGTCTCTAGGTACTTGCTGTACCATCCCTCACTGGTCCCCTTAACCCTGCCCAGACCACTGTAGTAAGCCCTTCATCCAGTGGTTCTCAACCTTCTGGCCCTTTAAAACAGTTCCTCAAGTTGTGACCCCCCAACCATAAAATTATTTTCGTTGCTACTTCATAACTGTAATTTTGCTACTGTTATGAATCGTCATGTAAATATCTGATATGCAGGATGGTCTTAGGCGACCCCTGTGAAAGGGTCGTTCGACCGCCAAAGGGGTCACGACCCACAGGTTGAGAACCGCTGCTTCATCACTCTCCCTCAGTGACTCCTCTGAGTGTGCCATCTGTTTCCTGTGAGACCCTGATTGTTGGAGTAATGTTACTAGTTACATATAATCTCCTGGAAAAACTTACTAGTTCTAAGGTCTTCCCACTGAAAAGCCTCCGTTTAGCTGGTCTCTAAAACAAACAGGCTATGAACAGATACAAGAAACATTATACTTGAGCTATAACAAAATTATTTAGTAAAAGGCAGCTTTTTTTAGTAAAAGACAACTGCTCATAATACTCACCTTATAATCAGGTCGAATATTTGCAAAATATATAAAACAGTCAACAGCTAGTGCAATTTTCAATCCACCTCCTTCCCAAGATAGTGCAGATATCTGCTTCCCAGCAACCCTCAAAGTACCTAGAGACTGAAAATATAGTTGTATTTAACCTAAAGAATCACGATGAAATAAAATACAAACTATCACTAATCACCTCACAGGGATCAAAACTGGTATGAAAATTGTTTTGTGGAAGGGTGCTACTCACTTCAAAATCATTTTCCTTGAATTTTTATAATAAAAACCATACATATGGTAAGAGAAATTTACAAACTATAGCCAAAGAATTCGGTATCAAATTTTATCAAATCTAAGATGCCAGAGATTTAAACATGCATTTTTATTTTTATGTGCAACTAAGAAAGAAAACACACATTGTTAAGTAAAATCTACACTAATAAAAGAGAAAAATGGTAATTGGCGTACGACGCTACCCTTTTCATTGGCTAATCAGGGCTATATGCAAATTAACTGACAACTCAGATGGCAGTTAACTGACAACAAAGATGGCGGTTAATTTGCATATGTAGGTACAATGCAGGGAGGCGAAAGGGAAAGCAGGAAGAAGCCCCCTGCCACTGACAGTGATCAG